ATTATAAATGACGTATTAATTCTACACAGACAGTGATCAATACACGGGTTAAATTTTTATTAGCCATTATGACTACAACGTTTAATTCAACAGTCACATTGGCGGCCTAGGTTGTTGTATTGTATATTTTTTTTTGTTTATTGCGGCACTCAGTAAAAGTAAGTTTTCGTTGGAGTTATATCCCTTCTAATATTTTTCCTTCTAATTAATCCCTGTAAAGAAAATTTTTAAATTTATATTTCTCTGTTATCTCTCAAAACCACATATCTAATAGTGTCTAAGACAATCCATTTGTGTGTCTCGCAAATGGTTAAGTTTAACAGTGGGATGCCTCGGGTGCACTTAGGGGCAATGACTAAAGATACGGAAGCGGTGGAGGAACAGATGAAGTTGAAAACGGGATATTAAATATGGGGTTTAAGTTCGACCCCTATTGTGACTAATGTAGGGCAGCATTTGAGACCAAGATAAGGTAGAAGATGGAGAATGAATAAGACTTTCTTTCACTATTCCGGGAAATTGAATCTTATATATATATATATATATTTTTTTTTTCAGCGCTCTTCCCCAAAACAGAGCTCCCAGCCTGACAAAAAGAAGAAAGAGTCAAAGTCCGGCACTTGTACACCACGGGTAAAGAAGGCGAATGACCAGACATCAACTCCAAGACCAGAGAGTGACCAGCCCGGAGAGGCTGTGTTTCCTTGCTGCCAATGTGACAGGTTAGATACAGACACGTTTAGATAGTTGAAAAAATATAGCCACTCCACTATTCTCTGACAACTCTACGAACCACTGGCAACTCTACTAACTACTGGCAACTCTATCAACCCACTGACAACTCTACCACCCACTAACAGCTATACCAACCACTGACAACTCTACTAACCACTAGAGCTATATTTACTCACTGACAACTATACCCACCACTGACAATTATTCTACTAACCACTGACAACTCTACCAACCACTGACAACTCTACGAACCACTGGCACCTCTACCAACCACTGACAACTTTACGAACCACTGACAACTCTATCAACCACTGACAACTCTATCAACCACTGACAACTCTATCAACCACTGACAACTCTACCAACCACTAACAACTCTATTAAGCACCGACAACTCTACCAACCACTGACAGCTTTACAAACCACTGACAATTCTACAAACTACTGATAGTTCTACCAACCAATGACACCTCCCCAACCCCGTCCCCCTCCCTCCCCCATCCCCAGACCAAATCATGACAACTCTACCAACCACTCTTAACTCTGTCAAACACTACTAAATCTATGTTAGTTAGTCTTTCCTCTTGTGTCGAGTGCGGCACATAGGGCAGAGGTCATGACTCTCCATGCATGGCGGTTCGTTGCAATCTGTTGTAGGTCTTGGATGTTTGAGTGGCCCATGAGCGAGCCTTCCCTGATGATAGTTCTACGTAGGGTTTCCCTTGGTCTTCCACGAGATCTTTTCCCCTGTGGTGTCCAAATGAGGGCTTGGTAAGGAAGTCTTGATTTATCCATTCTAAGGGCGTGGCCGACATAGTTCCAGCGGCGTTTTCGTATAAAATTAGACACATACTCTTGCCTGGATTCTTGCCTTATTTGTGTATTTGTTCGGAAATCTGACCATTTGAAATTTAGTATTCTTCTAAGGCATTTATTTTCAAAACTGTCTAATTTTGTGTCTAGAGTTTTCGTTGATTTCCAGCTCTCGCATCCATAGGTTAGTACTGGAATCACACAAGAATTGAATATCTTGAGTTTTGTGTGTTTGCTAAGTGTCTTTGATTTCCAGATGTTAGACAGTTTATTGAAGGCACTAGATGCCAGTGCTATTCTAAATGGTATTTCTGGTGCGGTATCTCCTGTAGATGACATCTTGCTCCCTAGATAAGTGAAACTGTTGACTTTTTCAAGGCTGTTGTTGTTGATATAAACTGAACTGTTGGTAAAGTCTAGAATTTTTGTTTTTGCGGTGTTAATTTGGAGTCCAATTTGTTCTGAGAATTTCTGAGTCGATTGATTTTTTCTTGGGCGTCTGTGTGTTCTGAACTCAGGAGTGCTATGTCGTCGGCGAAGTCTAGGTCTTCCAGAATTTTGTCAACCCATGTAATGCCTAAATTTGCGTTATTTATGCACTTGTGCATGACCCAGTCGATTGCTATACCAAAAAGCATCGGCGATAGGACACAGCCTTGCTTCACTCCTGTTTCCACCGGGAACCAGTCAGAATTGCCGGAATCAGTTCTTACACAGCATCGTGTTTCATTATGAAAAGATTTTATGATGTTGATATATTTGATGGGGAAACCATAGATGTTAAGCAATTTCCAGAGTGTTGGACGATGGATACTGTCGAAGGCTTTTTGAAAGTCGACAAAGTTGATCAATAATTTCGACTGGAATTCTGTAGAATCTTCAACAATTATTCTAAGAGTAAAGATGTGGTCTATGCATGACCGCTTGGATCTAAAACCGGCTTGTTCTTCCCTTAATCTTTCATCTATGGATTTTTTCAATCTTTCTAGTAGCATACTACAAAATAGTTTCCCTGGTATCGAAAGCAGGGTGATGCCTCTCCAGTTGTTACAATCGGATGAATCACCTTTTTTAGGTAATTTGAAGATTACACCATCTTTCCATTGTTGTGGTGGGTATTCGTTTTGCCAGACTTCATCCATCAGCTGGAGCAAATGTTGCAGGGTGTTTTCATCCGCTGCTTTGAGCATTTCCCCTGAGATGTTGTCCTCTCCGGTAGCTTTGTTTATCCTTAATTTTGTAATAGCTGTTTTAATCTCCTCTATTGTGAATGACTCGCTGGAGGCAACTAGTGTCGGTGTAATAATTTCTTCTTCTAGATTGTGAATGACTCGCTGGAGGCAACTAGTGTCGGTGTAATAATTTCTTCTTCTAGATTGTGAATGACTCGCTGGAGGCAATTAGTGTTGGTGTAATAATTTCTTCTTCTAGATTGGGAATGATGTCAGGATTTGGCCTATTTAATATTTCCTTGAAATGTTCTGCCCATCGCTTTGTTTGTTGGTCGTCGGATAGCAGTAGTTTACCCTGCTTGTCTTTAATGGGTGTATTTAGTGTAGGTGAGTGATTGCACAGTTGTTTCATAATATGGAATACGGCTTTGTTGTTTCCAATCTTGGCAGCTGTTTCAGCATCGGAGGCGAGGTCGTGTATGAAGTTCTGTTTGTCTTTCCTTGCATTTGATTTCACTTCTTTGTCTAGCGTGCTGTATTTTTCGTATGAAGATGTGTCTTTTTTGGATAACAGTGTTAATTTTGATTGTTTCCTTTCTTGGATTTTTGACCAAGTGTTGTCGCTTAGCCACTTCTCCTTCTGCTTTTGTACATAACCAACTGTGTTTACTGCAGCGTTCGTCAGTGTGTTTTTTTGAAAAAGTCCAAATTTTTGTCTATGTTATTTGTAGTATCCGCATTATTAGTTTTGGTTACATAGGTGGTGAGTATCTCTGTATTAAATGCGCTTTGATGATCTTTTGACAAAAGGGCTTGTAAGTTTATTTTCTTATTTCTGGGTGGTTTAAGTAGAGACTTGAGTTTAATTTTTAGTTTGGCAATACAAAGATTATGATCACTGCCAATATCAGCTCCCCTGTAGGCTCTAACGTCTTGCACTGATGTACGGAATTTGGCGCTGATGCAAAAATTATCTATCTGGTTTTTTGTTATGTTATCTGGCGAAATCCAGGTTATTTTAACTAAATCTATGAACCATTCTTAAATATAATAACCACTCAATTCTGCAAACTTTGCTTGATACCATCAACCTCTCTCCAAACAGCCAATCTCCACCAATTCCACAAGCCATTCTCTACTCTAACAACCACTTACTTCTACCAATATCTCTTAACACTGATATACCAATCACTGTTACCACTACTAACCAATATCAGCTCTAAGAATAAATGAGTCCAGCCAGCCCCTCTTAACTCACTGAGTACCAGAAGGTTCTACCAGAGACTCCTATGTGTATAAAAACAAATAGGAAAAAAACCCACCAGTGTATCGTTTTCAAAGACGCTAAATAATAGAGAAGCCAGATTTCTACAAATATTTTGACCAACTGAAAAGGAGTAGAATATATAACATATTGGGTGGTATTCACAGCAGGGCCAATTACACATTACGCGTTGTTTGGGAACGAGGAGTTAACTACCAATCCTTCTCAACACTACCAGCTTACTGCCAACCCTTTCAACACTACCAACTTACTACTAATTCTTCTCAACACTACCAACTTACTACTAATTCTTCTCAACACTACCAACCACCACCAGTTTAAACACACACCACTATCACAAAAACTAATAATTAAATTCATTAAATCGACATTTGCCATCGTTTCATGTCTACCCTTTTGTTTGGTCTCTCCTCCAGTGTTGACATATTTTCTGGTCTTTTCTCCAGGGTGTTTGCCAAGATCAAGAGCCGCAATGCTCACATGAAGTGTCACAAGACACCACAAGCGACGCCCTAAAACACGAAAGGGCCCGAAAATGAGTGGTTACAGATGCGAGAGATATATATGTTTTTGTACCCGTGGTTGTTTATGTGTGTGTGCTTGTAAGCCGTAACCCTGATATCCACAGCAATTAGTGATCTATTTAAATAATATTAAAATATTTTAAAACTTCAAAGTAAATGACATACTCTAAATCTGATTTGTTAGTGATGTCTGATTTGTCAGTGATGTCTAATGTGTCAGTGAAGCTTGACCTGTGTCAGTGACATCTGATCAGTCAGCGATGTCTGATCTGCCAGTGACATTTTATCTGTCCAGATGTGTCAGTGAAATCTGACCTGTCAGGGATACCTGGTCAGTTAGTAAAGTATGACTGTCAGTGATGTCCCATCTGATCTATCAGTAATGCTTGATCTGATCTGTCAGTGATATGTCATATGTCAGTGATTTGTAATATGTCAGTGATGTCTGATCTGTCAGTAAAGTATAATCTGTCAATGACACGTGTTCTGTGATTGATATCTGATTCTGTCAATGACATCTAATCGCTCAGTGACACATAATCGGTCAGTGACACCTAATCGGTCAGTGACACCTAATCGGTCAGTGACACCTAATCGGTCAGTGACACCTAATCGATCAGTGACACATAATCGGTCAGTGACACCTAATCGGTCAGTGACACATAATCGGTCAGTGACACATAATCGGTCAGTGACACCTAATCGGTCAGTGACACCTAATCGGTCAGTGACACCTAATCGGTCAGTGACATCTAATCGGTCAGTGACACTTAATCGATCAGTGACACATAATCGGTCAGTGACACATAATCGGTCAGTGACACCTAATCGGTCAGTGACATCTAATCGGTCAGTGACACCTAATCGATCAGTGACACCTAATCGGTCAGTGACACCTAATCGGTCAGTGACACCTAATTGGTCAGTGACACCTAATCGGTCAGTGACACCTAATCTGTCAGTAATATATGCCCTCTCAGTGATACCTGATCTGTTTGAAATCAAACCTGCCTTTTTTCATTTACCCTACCATTCATTTTAGATTGACTACTGATGTATAATCTGTCGTTGATACATGTGATTTGTGTTGCCATTGTGATATGTGACTGATAAATGTTATGTTATTCGTATATGTTATGTGACTGATAAATGTTATGTGATTGGTATATGTTATGTGATATTTTGGTGTTTATTCCCAAAGATGTGGCTGGCTGAGCTAGCATTGGCATCTCATCTGTCAGTTGTATCCATTATATGATTGATATGTGATCTGTGATTGATACCTGATTGATATCTAATTATTGTGTTCTGTGATTGCCATTCGACACATGAGTGATATTTTATCTGTGACTAACAACACCTTACCTTTCAGTGATAAGAAATATGTCCTTTACATCTGATCTGTCAGTGTTATCTGATCTGTAAGTGAAGTCTGATTTGTCATGAAATCTGATTTATCAAAAAATTTTCTGTCAGGAAGTCTTATGTTTCATGAACATAAATCTGTCAGTGAAATCTGATCTATCAGTAAAATGTGAACTGGCATGAAATCTGATCTCTCAGTGATATTGTATCTGCCATAGTAAATGTTACATCTTAGAAATCGGGTTTTGCAACCCTATGTGTGACTGATAACGATTGAAGGGGGTTTCCGGGACCTCTCCACGGGTGTCCCTCATTCAAGGTGTTTATAGCTCTGTGTGATGTCCTGGTAGGGTTAAACTTACCTACTTACCATCATCATCGTCAGGTGCCTCTACACAATCTGCGATCTCCTGCAGCATGTATTACTTCGTGTGCTGACACACCTCCATGCCATGCAACAAGACTGTCAAGAATCTTCTCTCGTTGTCTTCCCCTATCCCTCCTTCCAAAGATCTTTCCAGTGGTCACAACCTGTTCTATTTTCTCTCTCCTCATAACATGGCTGAAAAATGATGCCTGTCTCCTGATGTCTGTGATAAGTTGCCTTCAGGCTCCCGCCTCTTTCAAAACCTCTTGGTTGCTCTTTTTGACTGTCCAAGATATTTTAAAAATTCTTATGAAAAAACCACCTCTCTGAGGCCTCAAGAAATTGTGTTGCCTGCCTACTGATTGTCCAGGATTCACAGCCATATGTTAAAACTGGATGTATGTAGCAAGCTAGAATTCTTTTTCTAACCCTCAATGACAAGGATATATTGCATTTTATAAAATGCGGTTTTGATTTGTCCAATTTTTTAAAATCTCAATAATGCATCTTCTATCAGATGCTGTCAATGTGCCTAGTTACTAAAATGTCTGTACTTTTGGCAAAATAACACCATACTTATTATCACTTGTGTAAATTGATAGTTTGTGTGTAACCATATAATTTTTAATAATAAAGGAAATGTGTGTTTAACGTTTATATTCGTTAACTGTTTTTAAATATTTTAAATTTGTTTGTACTTTTGAAGCATCGTTTATACGGTCACAAAGTAATCTGTGGTTCAAACTGTCACACTGACATCTGTATCACATCGTCATTATTGATGTGACATGTCAGGTGCCTGAGACCACAGGTTTCGATGCCTATGAGCTCTAATTCAGTCCTCTTTATGTCATTGAACTCTTTCAATACCAAGCGGTTGTTACTTTAACTCCTTACACCTTGAGGAGTTGAACTTAAAAGCAATACATAATTGGATCCACAGAAGCTTAACACAGACACATCGGGACAGTATCCCTCAGTAGGTCCATTACAAAAAGTCGTTCTATAGCAAATTTTCCAGCCCTATGTGCTTTCATAGTCAATGTATCTTCATTTTTTTGTATGCACGTTCATGGTGGTCTGCCTCTGCCTCGTTTATCAGGAACTCTACCTTTCATCACAGTTCTCTGCAGGCCACCATAACGCTAAACAGGGCCAGAATACCCCAACTATCAGGACAGGATGCTTTTTATGAGCCAATTCTCCTCGATGCTCAGATCGTGTAGGATGTCAGTGTTTTCTTTCTGCTTGGTCTATGTTTTCTAAGAGATTTGTATGTAGCTTGACAAAAGGTTCCGATCTGAAGAGTTAAACTGATAACCCAGATTCAAAGGGTTAAAAATAACATGTGTTTGCGACTGTACACATCGGGTTTGAGGTTTTAAACAATAGATCAATATCATGGCACACGGGTGGTCACCCATAAGTGCTCATTTCTTCTTCTAACTCAAGTCTGAGTCAGAAGGCTCTGTAGCACCGTTGAGGATCGTGAAATATTTTGAGTAGATTTTTAACTCAAAATTTTTGGACGGGCAGCGCCGTTAGGCTACTCTTTTCGATTTCCAACTGTCAATGGATTTTTTAAATGCTCAACAATACACACGGGCGTCCGATTTCACTATATAGAGACCAGGGAGAATTACTAGTTCAAATCCACTGAAAATATCCCAGCCTTTACCAGGGATTGAACCCAGAACCTCTAGCACTCGAGGTGGACACTATGCCTCGAGACCACGGAGCTCCTGTAGACATCAAGAACATCATACATCATCGGAGACACTAAGAAATGAATGTTCACTTGTTTGGTGCTGAAAGATTTAAGAAAACCCAATTCGCAAAGAAAATGACGATTAATAGAGATATCAGATCAGATATGAACAGATAATTTAATTTCTCTGAGCATCTACAAAAGCTTAGCACTGAAACAGGTCAACGAACAGTTCGCTACGATGAACAAATACGACGAATCTTTGGATCACAAATACGACGAATCTTTGGATCACAAATACGACGAATCTTTGGATCACAAATACGACGAATCTTTGGATCACAAATACGACGAATCTTTGGATCACAAATACGACGAATCTTTGGATCACAAATACGACGAATCTTTGGATCACAAATACGATGAATCTTTGGATCACAAATACGACGAATCTTTGGATCACAAATACGACGAATCTTTGGATCACAAATACGACGAATCTTTGGATCACAAATACGACGAATCTTTGGATCACAAATACGACGAATCTTTGGATCACAAATACGACGAATCTTTGGATCAGTCAATGATTAAAGAGTTGAAAAAAAAAGAAAAAAAAAAGAAAACGAGAAGCAACAAATACATAAACTGTATAAATCACTATTAAATAGCTAGTGAATTAAAAATCCCCTGCAATTGGAACAAAGATTAGACAACGGGCCGAAACGTTGTTTTGTGCACGTTTTACTGCTTTCCCGTTTCGTTAAACTTTTAGTCACATTTCACAGCTATTCCTTGGTATTAACTTGACTGCAGTCAATAGGGTATTCAGCTATAGCCGAAGACACATGTTCTGAAAATCGCGTACATAAAAATAGTGAACATTATTTACTACATTTCCCCGCGTGGGTTCCAGGGCCCTGTTATAGGGAAAACAAGAATAGACACACTGCCTACCCAAAAGAATGTCGTAAGAGTCGACTAATTGGGAGCTTCCTTTAATGTCGGAGGGCTTCTGCCTGAGAGGCAAGGAACTAGCAGTCTGCATACAAATGAGTCAGATCTGTAAAACGTATGCACACGTAACACTCAGGTTCTGGAACAGGACTGCGGTCCAGAAGTGGATGAACAACCAGAACTTTCTGCCAGAGTTTACAGCTGGTGAACGCGAAGAAGAAGAAGATTTACTACATTGAAAGAAATATGAAATCCAAAGTTCTAACCTTAATGAATATATGATCCACTGCAATTAGCCTATGGCAAGTAAAAAGATACTGGGAGTAGACTGCTCTAGAGAAATACAGGGAAAGATTAAAAAAACACAAGAACAAAGGATAGCATATAAGGTTTTAATAGATTTTAAAACAGAATAATAGTAATATGGATGACTTTAAATATTCACAAAGAGACACACTGTAATTATCCTAATTGTTTGAAAGTGTACTTAAAGTATATTAAACGTAACATTGTATACTTGTTCAACCCTGAAGAAGTTAGACTGCAAGACCACATTAACAGGTTAAACTCATCATGCAGTAAATACAACATGAAGATCAATGCAAACAAAGCCGAAACAATTCAAGTTAGTAGAACCCCTGCTCCACTACACATACAGCTGAATGGTTCTGCTCTGAATCAAGTTAGAGAGTTTAAATATCTAGAAAGTATGGTCACAGAAGATGGTAGAATTGACAAAGAAATAGAAATCAGATGTCAGAAAGCAAGTGCACTTATATACAAATTGTCACCATTATTAGGACATCCACGCATGAATGCAAAGAGACAGATTATTAAGTAGCATATTCATTCCAACATTAAGCTACCAGTGCCAAACATGGACACTATCTAAACCCCATATACGCAAAATCACCACCTGCGAGATGAGATGCCGGAGAAAAGCAGCCAGCCTAGCCATACGAGATCGAGTAATTAATGAAACTATCAGGCAGATTGTGGGAACGACACCTTGTACTAGATTCATGGGCAGGTAATTCCCACGCCTTCCTAAAGGATTATATACAGTCACAAATCATTAACACAAACTCCCTTAAAGAACACTCAGTCAACACAAACAAAATTTTGGCTCCACGCGGGTTTTAGTCCCAGGTGAGCTGATTTTTTTTTTTTAAGTATCCGAACTCGATTTTTCGCCCTTTGTATAGTCCTTGTAAAGGGACATTTTTATGTGTGCCGTGAAGAGGGCGAAGGACCTGCTGACTGGAGGTGGTTGTAAGAAGAATCACACTCGTACAAGTGCAGAACTCTTAAGTCATCAGTTTCCGATCAGCATATGCAGTAGTTAACGGTGAATTAGGGTACCATCAAGTTTGTGCGAGATCGGTACCCCAGGAACTCACAGCTGAGCCTCTGCAGCAGCTCATTGCAGTGCCTTCATAATTTCTCTAACGCTGTAAAGCCACTGTTATTAACCTGGAAAAGATTCATGGCTGCAGACGAAACATGGGTTCACTACTATTGTCTAGATTTTTTCACCGGGGATCGCCGGTGTGTTGGGAAATGAACAGCCAGACAGACTGGCTGGCTCTGCACAGCTTGGTGGAATACTG